TTCAAAGGTGGAAGTGAGTTCAATCCTCAACTGATCACAAATCAAGAAAGACATCTGGAACGCGCCCCCACAATATGATAAATAAAACTAGGCAAGAGAGTGTGAAAATCACGTCCACTTTCCAAAAAGCAAGTCAGAGACTAGGTTCGCCCCATAAAAGGGACATCGGCATTTTCTCTGTGCCTGAGAAATAGTGATTATCAAATCAAGGTCAGGCTGCCTCTCGAGGATCTTTTTCTCCCTCACATGTGAAGCAACTCTCACAAACGCCCACAAAAAGAAAAGAGGGCTACTTAGATTTATTTATTTATTTTATTCCTATGAAGCATGGGGTTAATGAACTGTGTATTTCCCATCAGTTTTTAAGGCTGTTTCATGAAGGCAAAAGGATTACCCGCACAGTCTTGGGCTAGTTTCGCAAAAGATGCTAGCAGACAGTTGAAGTGTCAATCAGCAGAGCATAAAACAGAAAATACTCAACCAGCCATCTGAGAAACAGGGTTTTAATCCTGGTCTGTGTATGACCTTGGGCAAGAAACAAGGCTGCTCCAGGCTTTGGTTTCCTCCTCTGTAGGAAAATGAGCTCTGGACTGGAGAGTCAGGGTTCATAGCAAGAGACTGGAGTCAGCAAGTCCACAGAGTCCTCATGTCCCTGTCCACCGCCACGGCGTCTTGAGGGGAAATTTCAGTCTCCTTCTCAGGCTGTCTCCCTATGAATCCTCATCCAATTTAAGCACTCAAAAGGGACTTTTCATGTGTTAATATTTGCATATCCCAAGTCTAACATCCCACCAAGACAGGAGACATTTGTTCTTCCTTAAGCTCTCCACAGAAGAAGTTTAAAACCCACGAATTTATAAATTAAAAGTACAAGGTACAACTTGTATCATTTTTAAATAGAAAAAAAGTAAAGCGGGATGTGACTCGTCTAAACGAAACATTATGTCAGAAATAGAACATATTGTCTGGCAACAAAAAAATGTCCTTCGTACTTGGTGAAACTTAAGTTAGAGATGCTGTGAATTCAAGGACTAAAGATGACTCTATATGGAATTTTGAACTTTAAAAAGAGCCCTTTTATAGGCTTCATCTCATTTGCAAGCACCTTTTCATTTTAATTTTTAAATTAACACAGAGTAAAATTAACTTTTGATGTGAGTACGGTTCCATGCATTTTAACACCTTGTATGGATTTGTGCGATCTCCAACACAGAGTAGAGAACAGTTTCATCACTCAATAAGTCCTTCAAGCTGTCCCTTTGTAGTCACCTCTTTCCCCCAGACCTGACCCCTAATAGCTAACTGATGTGTTTTCTGCCACTACAGGGTTTTTTTAAGATTAATATATACATGGTATCATGCATTGTGCGACTCTTTGAAACTGGCTTCTTTCCCTCACCTGTGGGATTCATTTAAATGGCTGTATCTATCGATATTTCATTCGTTGGTGAATAACGTTCCATCATATGGATGTACCACAGTTTATCTGTTCTTCCTTGAAGAACATTTCGGTTGTTTACAGTTTTGGGTTTTTTTTTTTTTCTGGATATGTTTTTTTTAAATTTCTTTTATTGAGGTCATGGTAATTCATAACATTGTGAAATTTCAGTTGTACATTATTATTTGTCAGTCACCATATACGTGCACTCTTTCACTCTTTGTGCCCACCCCCCAAGCCCCTTCCCCCTGGTAACCATTAAACCATTCTCTTTGTCTGTGTGTTTGGTTATCTTCCACATATGAGCGAAATCATACAGTGTTTGTCTTTCTCTGTCTGGTTTATTTTGCTTAACATAATACCCTCAAGGTCCATCCATGTTGTTGCAAATGAGACTATTTTGTATTTTTTCATGGCTGAGTAGTATTCCATTGTATATATATACCACATCTTTATCCATTCGTCAGTTGGTGGGCACTTGAGATGCTTCCATGTCTTGGCCATTGTGAATAATGCTGCGATGAACATAAGGGTGCATAAGCCTCTTTGTAGTGTTGATTTCAAGTTCTTTAGGTAAATATACAGCAGTGGGATATCTGGGTCATATGGTATTTCTATTTTTAATTTTTTCTGAAATTAAATTTCTGAAAAAAAATCTGCATACTGTTTTCCATAGTGGCTGCACCAGTTTGCACTCCCACCAGCAGTGTATGAGGGCTCCCTGTTCTCCACACCCTCTCCAACATTTGTTACTTTTTGCCTTGGTGATTATGGCCATTCTCACAGGTGTAAGGTGATATCTTAGTGTATGACTGCAACTGTTATAAACATTTATGTACAGAGTTTTGTGTGAACTAATGTTTTCATTTCTCTGGGGGTAAATACTTAAGACTGGATCATACTGTGTGTGTAGGCTTAACTTTATAATAAAGTGTCAAACTGTTTTCCAGAGTGGCTGTACCATTCACAGATGTCGTTAAGTGAATGCATACGTGAAGCTGACACACATTTTCCTCAATTGCCCCACCTGTCTCTTGTTTCAGCTCCATGCTTTTCCATACTTATCCCACCCGATTACCCAGCCAAACCAAGGGATTTGCATTTCTCGGAGACCACCATGGTCTCTCTCACTTTGAGGCCTTTGTTTCCTCTGCCTGAAATGGTCAACCTTCCTGGAAAACTTAGTATTTTTAAAATATAGTTCAGGCTGATATTCTTTAAGTCTCCCTTCACCTTTATTCAAGCAGAATAATACTTTGTGCATTGTTCCCTAATCATGGTTTTTCCACCAAATCCTGAATGTTAACAAGCAGGAGCAGAGAAGAATTTAATGTTCTCCCTTCGTTCATTCATTCACACATTCAACAAAAATTTATTGAGTATCTACTATGCTCCAGGCATTGCTTAGATTGAGGCTAGAACCTACTCCAGTGTCTGGCACAAGATAAGCAGTCAACGGATGCATCCTGGGTTCATAGCCTAAATGTCATGGCCAAGGTTGCTCATGCTTTAAAAGCTAAAACCCAGATCTGTCAATTGCTCACTCACCTGTCTCTTAATTAAACCACGCCTCATCCCAGAGGCAACCACACTGTTCTGAAACTCTCTTTGGAGGGAAGGCACTCTTCGATTCATCTTCACATCACACGAGCTCAACCGTGGGTGCTCACTAAATATTCGTTGGTGTGCATTGACTCGGTAGCCGAAGCTGTCTTTTACAGTGGTAGGTTTGCCATTTATACAAAACCAAGCTGTTTTAAAAAAATATTTTATTGGGCAATAAACTTTTTGTTTTTATATTGAAAGATTTCGTCCAACAAAAATTATGTCGCCTCATCATAGTCAAGGTTTTCTTAGACATAAAGTAAAACATAGCCTCTCATTTCATATTTCATGTAGTAAGCATATTTCCTCCATGGCAGCTCATTTTCGTTGGCATCTGAGATTTGCTTTAGTAATTGACTATAGTCTGCAACAGCAGTTTGTGATGCCTGTGGTAGTGCCTAGATAATGAGACATTGTGGTAATTCAGTCATTTTGTTCACATGGATGATCAGTTTAATAAATACCTATTAAACCTGTTGTTTGACTAACGTATCATTTATTCATCAAACACTCACTGAGTGCCAGTACCATACTAGGTGCTGGTACTGCAGAGATGAATAACACGTTGTCCTGAACACTCTGAATAAGAAAAGGACACCGTGTAATCCAGTGCAGGAATGATGAGGACAAATGGTTACTAAATGAATGCATTCCACAAAGATTTGAAGATTACCACCTACCTCTATATCTTTGGCTGCTTATTCTTTTGTTTCAAGTTCAACAAAATGCAAATCCCTTAGGGATTCTTATAGATTTATAATGAAGGAGGTTGGATTTCGCCAACATTCCCACATTTCTCAGATATTCTCTGAATCCGAATGTGATTAGTAGTCTTCTGAAGCACTCCTAAAATTCAGTTAGACATAAGCAAGAATTTTTAAAGCAGTGTATTCTTAAATTGTTTGTATCACAAATTGGCTTAACTAGATACCTGGAATACTCAACATTCTGTCTCTTGTGTTAGTTACACCTTAATAAGTGTCTATAGCAGGTTAATATATATAACAACAATAACAACCCTGTCTTTCCATGTGGAGCTCACAGTCTAAAGTGGAAAACAGACAGGAAAAAATGTGATCAAATTACAGAGGCACAAAGAAAAGAAGCATTAGCTTTGTTTGGAGGAAGGGAGTCAGGAATGACTTCATAGAGGAAAAGACACTTAAATGAGTCTTGAAGGATTACTAGAGGTTCATCAGACAGACGAGGAACTGGAAGGAGTTATGAAGGGAAGGAAATAAGTTAGAAATAGCATGGAATTTTGAGGAAACTAACTATTCAATGATGCCTTGATGAGCTGGTGGAATCTATCACCGGCAGAATATATGGAATTTTTCTCTATTTTTTCTATTGATATATTTCAAGCACCTTGAAGGGTGCCTGACTCATAGTAGGGGCTCAATAAATATTCGTTCAATAAGAAGCAAGAGGTGTCAGCAAGCAGAAGGCTAATAATGAAGAGGCAGAACTGGAACTAGAGATCAGAAATGGGGATGGATTTCCAGGATTGAGTCTGGTGATCATGTTGTGGTTTTCATTAGACTTTAGAGAGTTAGGATTCAGGAAGACATTGAGTGCATCCATTTCCCCATCTCTGTGCAAACAATTTCATATCCAGTGCCTATGATGCGGGCTCGACAAGCTGAGGAGTCAAAAGAAAGATTTCTTGGACTCTCAAGGTCTGGCAGTAGTGCTCTTTTATTCAGAGAACAGCATGGTGACAGGACCCATGGACAGTGAAGAGCTGCAATGTGTTGGGGGTAGGGCTAAATTTATAAGGTATGGGTACATGAATTATTTTTACTAGATAAAGGAAAGATAATGTAAAAAGCCATTAAAATGGTATCAGTGCAGGTGGGGTCTGGTTATTGTGTGGTCGTATAACTTTAGCTGTGAATCAGGTCAAATAGATCGGCATGTAGGCCAGGATGCCTTGGGCTTCTCTCCCTGGGGCAGCCTTGATCCACATCACCTAGCCCCATGTCTGATCCATGTAAGAACTCAATAAATATTTGTTGAATATTTATTGTTGAATATATGTAATTCTGACCCACTCAGCCTGAGTGTAGGGACAAAGCTGAAAGGAAGAAGTCACAAATTGGCTAATTATTTTATTCCACAATTTTTATTTTTCTTGCTCCTTCGAGAAAACGTTCAAAAATAAATACAGTCATTCAAATATGGTCAATTATTTTTTGACAAAGGTGCCACAGATACACAAGGGGGAAAGGATAGTCTCTTCAATAAATGGTGCCGGAAAAACTTGACATCCACATTCAAAAGGATGAAACTGGACTCCTATCTTCTACCATACACAAAACTTAACTGAAAATGGATTAAAGCCTTGAACCATAAAAGTCCTGCAGCCATAAAACTCCTAGGAGAAAACATAGGGAAAAGTTCCTTGACATTGATCTTGGCAATTATTTTTTTGGATTTGACACCAAAAGCAAAGGCAACAGAAGCAAAAATAAACAAGTGGGACTACATCAAACTAAAAAGCTTTAGCACAGCAAAGAAAACCATCAGCAGAATGAAAAGGCAACCTATGGAATGGGAGAAAATATTTGCAAACCACACATCCACTCGGGGTTAATATCTAAAATATACAAATAATGCATACAACTCAATAACAAAAAGCCGAAATAACCCAATTTAAAAAGGGCAAAGGATATGAATAGACTTCTTTCTAAAGAAAACATACAAATGGACAACAGGTACATGAAAAGGTGCTCAAAGTCGCTAATCATCAGGGAAATGCAAATCAAAACCACAATAAGATGTCACCTCACATCTGATAGATTGTCTTTTACCAAAAAGACAATAGATAACAAAGGCCGATGAGGAGGTGGAGGAAAGGGAACATTTGTATGCTGTTGGCAGGAATGTAAACTGGTACAGCCACTATGGAAAACAGTATGGAAGTTCCTAAAAAATTAAAAATAGAACTACCATATGATATAGCAATTCCACTGCTGGGTATATGTCCAAAGGAAATGAAATCACTCTCTCAAAGAGTTATCAAGATTTCCACGTGCATTGCAGCATTATTCACAATAGCCAAGGTATGGAAACAACCTGAGTGTAAATCAATGGATGAATAAATAAAGAAAATGCAGTGTGTATATATATACACACAATGTAATATTATTCAGCCTTAACGAAAAAGGAAATCCTGCCATTTGCAATGACGTGGATAAACCTGGAGGGCATTATGCTAAGTGAAATAAGCCAGACTGGGGGTTGAGGGAAATGGAGAGGGGTTGGTAAAAGGGTCCATACTTTGAGTTACAAGATGAATGAGGTCTGAGAACGTAACGTATAACGTGGTGACTATAGCTGATAACATTGCACTGTATAAATGAAATTTGCTAAGAAAGTAGAACTTAAGCGTTCTCACCAAGTAAAATAAGGTACATAGTGAGATTTTGGATATGTTAATTAACTTCATGAAGGGAATCCTTTCTCAACGTATACGTGTATCAAATCATCACATTGTACACTTTAAATATATTACAATTTTATTTGTCAATTATACCTCAATAAAGCTGGCAGAAAAAAGTAGAATCAAATGTTGCTGGCCTGAGAGACACCAATTCTGGGTCTTCATTCCATGATTCCACGAATATCTTAGAGGAGAGAGTGTTCTGCATTCATCTTTGGTGATGTTGGCTCCAGAATTTCTACCTACGCCTGGCTTAGGAGGGTCAGAGATGCTCCAAAGCCATCTTGTACTGGGAATTTTGCCAGTCTGAAATGTTGCTAGCCAGTTGTTAAATACAGACACCCTTGTAATCAGCCATAACAGAGGTATTCGTATGACAAATATTAGCAAACACTACAAAGCAGAGTTCCTTTTGTTTTGTCTTTGTTTTCTGAGAGCCAATTCACACTACTTGAGTGAAAGATTAATTAGAAGCTGCATTTTCACAGAAAGTATACTGTTTTCCCTGTGAGTATATGCTTTCCTGGGCAGCATGTGAAGAGAAGTGATGAAGAGCATGACAAATTCCCAAAGCCATAGCTTGATTTTACTACTTCAATTAGTTGAGCAGTTGAACCACTGGAACTCAACTGGAGTTTGAGCTCCACTCTTCCCACAAAAAGAGATGCAAAGGGCCTCTGGTGGACTCCTCAAATCTCCTTTAAGTGTGTATGATTAAGCTGTAACATTCAGGGTGGGAGACTACTGAGAAAAATGTTCTGGGATCAATTGATCCATGTCTGTAAAACTACAGAACTCTTCCTGTATCAATCAAAATTTGTTTTTGATTACGAATGTAGTGATGTTTTGCATTATGAATTGTGGGCCTACATAGTGTTCAGTCCTGGAGACTCTGAAAGATGGTTGTTACTTGTCTTCCCAACTCCCACAGCTCCTTTTTTAATCAGATAAGCTTTTCTAGCAATCATAAAAAGCTATTCAGTTGTAGCGAGACTTTGTGAAACTCTTCAGTGCTCTCAAATCTGCCTTACATCTTGAGCAACACCCAGCCCGCCTAGATCCTCTCATGTTGCCACAACCCCCTTTCATTCTAAGCTACACTTTCTCAGTATTTTGCAATCAGTTTATTCTGTATTTTTTGGCTCATCCCCAGGTAAAGAAGAAAAAAGAGAAGCCAGGTGCAGAGTGTGTCTTACTTAGAAGAATCCTTGCAGGAGAAATTACCTTTGACTTTGAGAAAGCAAAGAAGCCATATAAAGCCATGTAAAGGTCGTTACATGATCTTAAATATGGCTGTGCATTGAGATTAAAGCTGTAGACTTGCCAGTTGGAAGACAATCAGTCTTGGGTTTAGACCTGACTGGGCTCTGCCATATGTCACCTCTGAGATCTTGACCAGGGTACTCAACCCTTCTCCTCCTCAGTGTCCTCATCTGGAATACAGAGATAAAAATAAATGCAACACAGGCTTGTTAGTGCTGCCTAAATTAAATGGTCTATGTACAGTGCCTGGCATTAAAAAAGAGTTTAGTAAATGCCTTTTGATTTCTTTTATTTTTCTGTACCATAAAACCTAAACTCAAGGGAAATTTATGTCACATACGGTACACTCTATAGGTTACAGTGTAGAACACCATAGTTATTTATACAGCAAGTATCACAACGTCTGTGTGACAATGAAGGCCAACAATAGAGTTACATAAACCCCAATAATAACAAACACATACAAAGACTTAACAGCACTTCAGCAAGTCCCAGGAGCTGTTCCAAGCACTTTCCATATGCTAACTCATTTAATCAACAAAGTAACCCTATCAAGTAGCAATTTTTTTTATCATTTCCATTTTACAGATTAAAGGAAATGAGACAAAGAGAGTTTAACTTACCTGAGGTCACCCAGCCAGAAAAGCAACAGAGCCAAGATTTAAACTCAGGGAACTTGATTGCAGAATCTGTGCCCTAAACCACTGAACTATTTCACCCTTTACAATAAAGAAAGCATTTATATATATATTGTCTCACTTACTTCACAATAACCCTGGGAAATAAGCCACTTCAGAAATTCCCTGGCATTCCTCCCTTTGGGCTCCGGCTAGATTTGCTCTCTCCGAATCTTAGCCTCAGCTGTGCCCAGGGCTCCCAGCATTCAATTTTGCTGCCTTGAAGTTGGAGAGGGAACTTCCTGGTTGATTCACTTTCTAGAACTGTGTAACACAAGGCCATCCCAGAAACAATAGCCTTGGCTGGCCTCCATGTGGGTGACAGCCTGGGGTTTTAATCAAGAGTCTTTTGGTTGTAAGTAAACAAAAACCCACACAAACGAGTTTAAGCAGGAAAATAGGAAAGGTGGAATTTATCAAAAGGCGACAGGGGTGTTCGATGGGACCCAAAGAAAGGAAACACAGTCAGAAGAGATTAAAACCTGGAAACAGAAACCTGTCAGAAAAATCAAGCCCCGAACTTCCTCAGTCCCGTCCTCAGTGGCATCCCAAGTTTTGTTTACATGCCTCCTTTATTCTTTTCTTTCTACAAATTGATTTTCTCTGCTTCTCTGGGTACCTGGCAAAAGATGGCCATCCTATATTTCCGAAGTTCACACACCTCTCATATGTGACCAGCAGAATTTGACTACCATCTTTAAATCTGGATTTTAGATCCTGAATTGGGAGAATATGATTAATCCTTCGAGGGGTCATGTGCCCACTCTTGGTTCTGTAAGCCATATGGAAGGGGACTGTTGGGGGAATAGGGTCACAGAGTAAAATTATGGTGGCCAAGGTCCATATCTGTTGGAAGATAGCAGTTATCAGTAAAGGAGGTGAGGCTTATTAGCTGAGCAGAGACCCCAGGAAAAAATCTTGTGTGTATATATATATATATATATCTAAATCTGCTTGACTTATCTTCCTGAATTAAGGACTTTGACATTCCTCAGCTCTATCCTTCTCTTTGCCATTAAGCTCCCAAAGACTATTTTACTCATTGGGATTCTTGAAAATAGCCTTTTATTATAATAATGAAGAATCTTCTCCAACACAAAATTCTCCGTCAGAACACAGTTCAATATGATTACAGCTCAATATGAACAGTGTAACCTAACGTAAACTGGAATCGATGGAGAACACTCTCAAAACTGTGAACTGTGCTTTTCAAGATGTCAAGATGAAAGTTTAAAATGTTCTATTTTAAAATTTCAATTTTTTTCAAATATACACTTATCACATGGAATCTTCGTCACTTCTTAGAAAAAACTCTGCAGATTCTAGCTTCAAATCAGAATACTTTTTTCTCAACAAACATTCTCTGCTTGCAGAAATATTGCTGAGAGCAGATGACTTGCCCCTTGATTTAAAAAATCACTAGTTACATTCAAAAGGTACATATTTAAACATAATATATTTTTTTCTTAAAACAACACCAGGTTTATTTGTTAAACCTTGAAGAATAAGCTAAATGCAATGTAAAACGTGGGTTTCTACTCTGCTCATCCCTCTGGCGGTGGGTTGGTGGGCTTAACATATCCAGGTATTAGTAATCCCAACCCTTCTCTTCCTTACTCTGAGATCGCAAACAAGTGGTTTAATCTCTCTGAGCTTCACTTTCCCCATTTTTAAATAAGGGTAACTATGCTTACCTCTTAGGATTGCCGTGAACATTACATAAGGTAACGTGTAAGCTTCTTAGGAGAGTCCCTGCACTATGCTCAATAAATGTTCTCCTCTGTATTTATCCATCCATTTCCTTTCCTGGCAGATGAACCCCTCCTATTTCACACTGGCCCATCTCATGAGAGGAGACAATATCTCACTAACCTGAGATGTACATGACAATTTTACTAACCGGCTCTGTATGCAGACATCTACCACGTGCCAGGTAACGTTAGAGAAAAGGAGGCACAATTAAATTTTCTGTATCTCTTTCAACGTATGTATATTTCTGGCAAGAAATTGCTCCTATCGTTTGTCTGTGACCAAACACAAGATAGTACATTATAATAAGAAAGAGGTCTTAGGTGTTATGAGAGATCATGTGGTCAAACTGCCTGTTCTTCCCAACCCAACGCCTCCCTCTACTAACCCAAAGGCCGTCAAGTTACCATCTCATAACTGGTGCCTATGTGGCACATAGAATAAAAATCACTGTGTCTTATGGATGTATTAAACTTCTTTGACTATTAGTGTTGCCACCCAAAGATAGGGTTCTCTTCTTGATGCACATAAAAACCCAATTATTTCAGCAACAGCTTTTGAGGAAGGAGAGGGTTTTATTGTGAGGTTGACCAGCAAGGAGACAGGAGGCAAAGCTCACAAACATGTGTCTCTAATCCAAGGTTTGGGGCAAAATTTACAGGATAAAAGGGCAGGGTGGTCTGAAGTGTGGGAATAGATGACTGGAGGTAGGGAGAAGTGAAGTAATTGATGATCTGTGCAAGCATCGTCAAGCAGCACGGCTCTTCATAGGATGCATGTTCACAAAATGGAGGTGTTAGCGTGATGAGGGTGATGTTTTCAGCCCCTCAACATCAAAAGGGTCACCTATCAGGCATTCTCACAGGCCCAGTTGATGGGTTGGTGGTCTCAATTGGCCTGAACTGGACAAGGGGTCAACTCTCAGTTCCTGAACAACAACTCTTAATTACACTGTTGATAATACGGGTCAGTTGAACTGGTCCTAGTGGGTCCGTGGTTACATCAGTGAGTCTTCTCAATCTTTCATAGGTTCATTTGCTATTTTTATTTTCTTTTTATAATTGCTAGTTCATGTCTTTTATCTATTATACCGTTGGCTGATTATCTTCCTTTAATTAGCTTGCAAGAGATCTTCATATATGGCATTAATTATTTCTCTGTCAAATATGTTGCAAATGGTTTTCCAAATTTATTGTTTGATTCATTTATTTTATTTTTTACCAAATAGTATTTTTAAAACTTTAAGTATTCAAAACTAAAACAGTTTTGATATTCAAAACCAGATATCTGGTTTCAAAATGTATGTTTTTTAATTTTCTATTCATTTTATCTTTGGAAAAATGTTATAGTAAACAACTATTACAGATTGCTGCAGGGTAGCATAGGACAGAAGAATTTATTGAATGAAATACAAGTAAACAAATCTGGGTTAATGAGCAAGATTCAACTCAAATGAGGTCCAGAAGCAGAGAATCTGTCCCACAGTATAAATTTAGACTTAATGATAAACAGGACTCAGTGTTCACAATTCTATATCTGAGGCCATTTAACACTCTGCTCCTTCTAGTGTGCTCTCTACGGCCTTTCAGATGAGGAACAGGACCCAGATGTGGAGAGGCAGGGACCCTTTTACAAGGACTGGAACAAATTGCTTGATCGGAGCAGGAATAGATGCCGGAAGAAATAGATTCATGGCCCTGAGCTGCTAGCCTGGGACACTTTTAATTGCCCTTGTCTAGAGGGTGGACCAACTTTGATCTCATGTCCCTTCTTGCTAAACAGTGTGCCCAAGGTAATGTTGCAGTAATGCAGCCAGTGAAAGCCAACACCAGAACCCACTAACCACCTGGAGAAAGGAGCTCCATGTTCTGAGCACCTGTTATGTGACAGGCATCTTATGTGCTTTATCTCATTTAATTCTCACAATAGCACTTTGAGATGGGAATCATCATTCCTATTTCACAAATGAGGAAACTGACTCAGAGAGATTAACTCTTGTCCTCAATGTTCAACAACTAATACCTGATAGGGGCAGAATTGGAACCCAGGCCTTTGACTATCAAATACAAGCTTTTGTTTACTGTGTCACAGAACTGCTTATGGCCAATGGCTCCCAAAAAATGCCAAATTCTTCTTAGTCAAAATGTATCTCCCATGGTCTGGTGATGAGTATCATCTCTCTACTCTAAAACACAAGCTTTCTTTCACTTGGAATATCTGAGCACATTTGCAGCCAGGACATCCATCTCTCAGATTGCTGTGGGAAGTCCCAGGGCTGGCTAAAATAGGCTAGAGCCCTTTGAGCTGAGCTAAAAATAAGAGTCAAGCTCCTCAAGGGACTTGATCTCCCTTTGTAACTGTTATTTCATTAGTGGAAAATACTGTATTGCCCTTTCCCTGACCTCCTTTGCAAAAAAGGAAGTGTTTCTCTACACCAAGACTCCCAAGTCTAAAAGAGAGCTGGTGAGTTCTTATGGTCCGAGCCCCTGAATCAAGTCAATATGGTACATCCTCTTCAGGAAAGATGACTCCATCATTTGCTATCATATGCAATTCACTTTCAGAAACTTGGATCCAATCCAAAAAACAAGAGGGAAATATCAATGGGTCTTAAACTGGTAGGTGGCATGATTTGGTTTTAGATACACCAATTTGAGGTAGCATAGATGATGAAATTGAATGTTCAAGTTTGGAAAAGAAAGGAGACATTTGTAGTTATTAAAAAATGATGAGGACCTAAACTGGAGCCTACTATTGGTGGTAGAATAGAGAAAAGTGACATATTCAAAGAAATAAATGTGATTTAATTATACTAATAGAGATAAATAAACCATCAGCATAATAATAAAAATAACAGTAGCTAGCATTTATTGAATATCTATCACGTTCCAGACCACAACTCAATATCAAGCATGATAGCATTTTATGCTCTCAACCAAACCTAGGTAGGTTATATTATCTTTCTTGTATTAAAGGAGAAGAAACAGAAGTGTATAGGGATTAATTGTTTCATAAGGTCTCACAGTTAGCATAAGTAAAAACCAGGGTTAGACCACAGATCTGTTTGACTTCAGTATCATTGCTCTTGTATGGGACTGCAATCAACTGAGAGAAGAATAGAGAACAGAAAAGGAAAAGGCAGGTTTCAAAGGAAAGTGTTGAGTTCAGTTGATTGACTTTGGGTTGCCAGAAGAGATGTCATCGGGTATTTGGACATGTCTGAGAAGGATTGAGAAACGGTGGTGGGGAAACATGAAGGAGGATGACATGATCCAGGACAGTATGCAGAATGAGATGACTGGAGTATTGGGATGGAATCCTAGAGAAAAAATGGGTTCTAGGGGTGGGATATAATGGAGACAGTATTAAAAATAAAGGGAGAGAAAAAATATCCAGAGCATAATAACAACAAACAATAGCCAATATTTATTGAGCACATACTCTTTTAAATGCTTTAACTGAGTAATGTAATTCTCACAACAACTTAGGAAATAGGCGCTATTATTATTATCCTTTTACAAATGAAGAAATTGGAGCATAAAGTAGGTAAGTAACTAAGTCAAGTTCCTACAGCTAGGGAGCGATAGAGCTAGGATTTATATCCACCTAGTACCAGAGTCCATGTTCCTTTTTTTCCCCTAAAATCTTTTTATTGAAGTATAACCTGTATAGAAAAAGTCGACAAATCATAAACGTGAAATAAAGTGAATTTTCACAAATTGACACACTTGTATAATCATTACTTGGGTAAAAAATAATAGAACACTGCCAGCAATTCAGAAGCCCCTTTCTCATGCACTCTGAATCACTATTCATTCTTGCTCCCCAAATATAACAATGATATGACTTCTAATACCATATATCAGTTTTGACAGCCTTTGAAATTTATATAAATTGAATGATATAGTTTATATCTCCTGTATCTGGACATTTGTATTCAGCGTTCTCTTGTAAGATTTATCCATTTATTGTTTCCACTATGATGCGTGCAATCCATCACTGTGCAGTTCAATTTTATGAACATATCAAAATGCGTTTGTCTACCCTACTGATGATGGACATTTGCATTGTTTCCATTTTGGATCTAACACAAATAGTTCAGCCACAAACATACTTTCCCCTGTCTTTTAGTCCATATGTGTACACACTTCGGTTGTATATATAACTAGAGGTAGAATTGCTAGATCATATGAGATAATACATATGAATTTAGCTTTACCAGTTAATACCAAACAGGTTTTTTAATGTCACTAAGTTACGCATATATATTTGAAAATAATAAATCTGATAAAGTACATATACTTTATATAGAAATATATAAAAACTCTTACAATTCAAAAATAGTTAGACAAACATTGCAATTTTTCAAAGGGTGAAATATATGAACATATACTAGATACTTCACTTAAGATGTCATACAAATGGACAGTGAGCACATGGAAAGAGGCTAAAGATCATCAGTCAACAGGGACTGCAAATTAAACCACAAGGAAAATACTCCTGCATATCTACTAGAATGGCCATAATCAAAGCTGACAATACCAAGTGTTGACAAGGAAGAGGAGAAATTGAAACTCTCATATATTATTAGTGGGAATGTAAAATGGGACCACTTCTTTGCAAAACAATTTGGCAGTTTCTTTAAAAGCTAAATGTAAAATGTGTTTTATTATAGACTTTAAAAGGGTGAATTTTATGGTATGTGAATTACCGCTCCATAAAGCTGTTACAAAATTACCAACTGATTCAGCAATTCTACTCCTTCGAACGCTTAGGTATCTACCCAACGGGAGTAAAAGATTATGTCCTCCTGAAGACTTGTACACAAATTCTCACAGCAGTATTATCATAATAGTCCCAAACTGAAAGCGATCCAGATGTCCATCCACTAGTGAATAAATAAACAAAATGTGGTATAACCATACAATGGGACATTGTTCAGAAGGAAAAAGTAACAAACTATTCTACAACATGGATATACCTCAAAAATATTGTGCTAAATAAAAGAAGCAAGATATATACAAAAAAATCATATTTTGTCCGATTCTATTTCTATGAAATGCCCGTAAAATACAAATCTGATGAGTGTGTGACTTGAGGGTGGAGTGGAGGTTGCCTGTAGGGCACCAGGGAACTTTCTAGGGACATGGAAATATTCTAAAACTAGATTGCGGTCATGGTTGTACTCCTCAAGAAATTTACAAAATATCATTGAATTATACGCTTACAATGGATAAATTTCATTAGCTGTAAATCACACCTCAATAAAACAAAACACAATAAAACGTTATCTTTTCCACAAAGACTTCTGGACTGTCAAACCCAGATGGAATTAGCTGTTCCCCACAAACATGTCAAAAGTAGTACTTATCCCATTAGAATTTCTACACTGTGTTAGCCTCTTCTCCCAATTAGAATGTGAGTCTATTAAAGTCACAAATTCATCTCACCATGTGTTTTGTTTTAATGTCTGTTTACACACGTGTCTCCTATAGTCTGTAACTACTTTGAAGAGAGTGTGGGTATTCCAAACATCTACCACAATGCCTGGAAGAATGTCTCTGCTCAATAAATGTTTATTGAAGAATGAATGAACTGAATTAATAGTATATTAATACAGAAGAAAAGCAGAAACATAGTATTCTATATTTTTATGACTTGTCATGAATTAAGAATACTTGTTCATCAAATTTGATGATTTCATTTTATAGCTGTTCTCTTACATACAAGAAAATTATAGGGGCAGGCCCGATGGCACGGTGGTTAAGTTCGCGTGTTCCGCTTCAGCAGCCTGGGGTTCGCCAATTTGCATCCTGGGTGCAAACCTACACACTGCTTATCAAGCCAGGCTGTGGCAGACATCCTACATACAAAGTAGAGGAAGATGGGCAAGGATGCCATCAAAACTCATACTCAGACACAAACACACATAAACACACCAATTCACCCATGCACAATCATGAATTCCTAGACACATTAGTCACATATTCACATACAGACATGTTCATACATGAATGCCACCCTAACCACATACACATCAATAGTCTTATAGGTACATGAACATACATTGTACCACTCTAAGGAATGTTATTCACACCACTGACAATCCAAATGGTGTCTTCTGTAGTTGTGCAGTACTCAACTTATATGACCAAAAATGGTAACCTTGTTTACTCATCCATTCAAAAATTCACAAATCTATGGTTCTTCTTCCTCTCTAAAACTGCCTTTCACCAAGCATCACAAATCAAAATGGAAAGAAGAAAAACATCAAGGCAATTTTAAGAAGTGAGATAGTGACCTGAACAAGTAAAATTAGGGAAGGGTATCAACAAGATGAATTGCCCACGACTTGCTGACCAAGACCTTCATCAGATGGAGATAAAAGTTTGTATTTTAGATCTTCCAAATGCACAGCCAAGTAGGCAGCAGCCAGCAACTACGACTATTTTTTCCACAGAAAATATAAAAATCAGATGAAGACAAAGGCTGATGAAAACATGGATGCTCAAATCAAAGCCATAGTTTCATAGCTGACCCATTTTCCCTGTTGCCCTGCAAATGCAAATTTTCCAATTCCCCATTCTGATTAAACCTGGACAATTGTAGCACACCATTACCTTTCAACTTATAGATTCTTTAAGTTAGGGTTTACGTATAGATTATAAAGGTCATAAGTCTTAACCCCTATTTGAGGCTTGACTTATAATAATATTCTATTAGGATTAGGTTGGAGGATCCTAAAACCACAGCGCTTGTATTTGAATCTCATCACTACCGTTTCTTTGTTTTGTGATGTTGGGCAAGTACGGTAATATCTTTCACCTTAGTTTCCTCATCTGTAACATAAGAAATATAATATTATGTATCTTACAGAGTTTAATGAGGATTAAATGAGTTAATAAGTATAAAAGTCTTAGAAATTTCCTGGCAGATAGCGTTCAGAAGTTGTTATCTGTGTTTATTATAATATCCATGCCTAACAATTTCAGATTTTCTGCTTTAACATTTAAACTATGAGTTTCTCAACTACACAAACCTGAAGTTAAGGCCCATACTGCCACTTGGGAGCTGGAGAGTCTTGTACAAATAAACATCTCTGAACTCACGTTTCCTTATTTGCACATGTGTTTAGTAGTCAAGGATTATGGTGGTAATAATGAAGGCTACAGCACAAAGCAAATGTCCAAATGTTAGTTCCCTCCCTTACCAGGCCATAGTAGAGAACTACTGCTTTTGAAATTTCACTTTACCGAAGGCCTCTGCACCTGTAACCCCCACGACACACCTCACTAATAGCCACACACCTTATCATTGCATGAAGAGTACGTTTCATGACGCCAATGTTCTGTTGGTCCCCATGCCCCCAAACATCTGCTTCCTAGACCATTCATGCAATTCCCCAGCTGGAAAAGCTGAAAATAATACGTCTTCTCACCACTGAGATGCAAGCACTACAAGAGGTAACATTTGTGAAAATTGTTTTACAGTCTCCATATACCTTCAGTATAGCTACTTTAAAAAACAATAAAGTCAAGTTCATCCCAGGAACTTGGTTAGTGATTTACATAAATGATTTTATGGAACATTCCTATTAGCCCAGTGACACAGGTAGTGTTATCCCCACTTTATAGAAAAGGGAACTGAGTCTGAGAGAGAGTAACTTGCTCAAGTTCATGCAACTAGTAAGAGGCGGAACTTGACTTTGAATCCCCAATGTTCTAAGCCCAAAAGTTCTTCTGTAGTCTGCTGCTAATTGATGGGTGGCAAAAAGTAATGACTGGCACAATACCCCAAAATATTTGGTGGATGAGCGAATATGAGTAAGTAATTTAATAAAAGAAGTACACTGAACAAATCTCCGGAAGCTGATAATACTGTGGTGGCATAGATGTTTGACAGTCTTACATCCCACAATTTTTAGGAGAGACCAGAAGTTCAATTGTTGGTTGGGATTTATCAAGCTAAGAACAGTTCTGATCAATAAAGGTATATGAAGAACCTACCACATCACAGGTACCATTTTAGGTAATACAGCTACAATGCTCTGAAAATCTCAGAGTTTAGTTTGTCAAATCATTGGTTTGGATTTAATTTGCATAGAGAAAATGGAGACATTAAGCCTATAATGTAAAGGCAAAACCTCTCTCCCAAAAAAGACACTACAGAATGATGCATAATACAGAACAAGACAAGGTCCCATTCTGGAGCTATTTTGCAGATATTCATTTTGCGTAATCATTTAGGGAAGGGAGGAGGTCATGGTAGAATCAAAGAAGCTAGAACTGATAAGATGTGTTGTGGGGAGGGAAGAAAAAGTGCAAGGTCAAGTTTTTATCAGAGGGCTCATGACAGAGAATCAGAAGGGGCTGAGAGAATTCATCCCAATGATCTCTATCACCTTTTACAGACCAGATGAGGAACTGGGACCCAGGGTGATGAGGAGACTTTCCCAGTCAGCATTACAAATCCAAGACAAGAAGGCTGGTCTCCTGTCTTCTCATCTGGTGAGCTGTCCCATCACTCCGCTGCCTTCAGGGCTAGCCCCTCTCTCAAGCCACTCTCCTCTCCATTCTTTCCCAAAGCCATAGAGGGAGATCTATCTTCTGCGTGTGGAGGGAAGAGAGTGTGAGGGGAAGTGTTCCTCGTGGGAGCTATGGTGGCTGTGGGAAAGTGAACAAGGTAAAGTATTTTCCATGTTTCTGTTTGCTTGTTTATGGACTCAGTATACACTCATTGTGAGAAAAACTGTAAAATTCATCAAAATAGAAAGAAGAAAATGAGTCACTCATAATTCCACTATTCTGAGATACCATTATCACTTCACCATAGTTCCTTCCAGTCTTTCATTGCACCTTTCATACAGCTTGTTTAATATTGAATATGTGATTTTATTTCCTGTGCTGCTTGTTTAACATTATATCATAGGCAATTTTCCACATCATCAAAAATCTTCCTAAGCATAAATTTTAGTTGCAACACAATATTTCGTTACAAGTTTGTGCCGTAATTTACCGCTTCAACAATGCTGGACTTTGAGTTATTTCCATATATTAATTTCTGTAACAAAATGGCAGTGAAAATCTTGATGCCTAAATCTCAGTCTGCATTTGCAAATATTTCCTGATGGTTGATTCCTGGAAGTGAAATTCTAAGTCAAACAGTAGGTAAGATCATTCTTGGTAACTTTTGGGGAAGGGCTTAAAAATGTATACTCTTTTCACGAACATCTATGAATAAGAATTTTAATTTCTTCTTTCCATTTTCTTCCTAATTTTCCCAATTCCACCTGCTGCAAAACCAGTTCCAAACACATTGGATTGCACGTGTAAGCCATCTTGATGCAACTGTGTAAAGTGATAATTAAGCCCTCTATTTAACTAAGCATTCATTTTTTTCCTGCTCATGCAATGACAATGAGCAGGCAAATAATAATTTATTAAAAAAGAAGAAATATTCTATACTTTGGAAATACCCAAATACTCTAGCTCTGAGCTTTCCAGTGTGATAACCACTAGCCACACGTGGCTATCCTTCACTTGAAAGGTGGCCCATCTAAATTAAGATGTGCTGCATGTGTAAAATACACACCAGATTGTAATGACTCACTGCAAAAACCAGGAACTAAAATATCTCATTGATATTTTTATATTGATTACATGTTGAAATGATAATATTTTGGATATATTGAGCTAAGTAAAATATATAATTAAAATTAATCTCATCCATTTCTTTTTACCTTTTTAAGACGGCTACTAGAAAATTCAAAATTATACACATGGCTCTCACTATATAACTATTAGATAAGTCTGCTCTAGCTAGTTCCCAGATTTATCCATGGATGTACATGATTAATACTTGATTCTATTTTGCCTTAATGACTTGTGCAGCTTCAGAAAATTGGCAATTTGGAACCAATGTTTCCTACTTTCTTGTACATTCTTCATAGAGTTAAATATAGTCTCTTTTGTCTTTATTAATTTCCTTCTGTTCCTCATGCCAGCCTATATTCTTTAAGCCTGTATTTAATAAAAATTCACCCAGTAAGTCATTTCCCTTCTCTCCATTCATTCATTCAATAAGAAACCATTGATTGTTCACCTATAATGTAATCACTGTGCTTTCTAGGCCAGGGAGTACAAAGATTACTAAGACAAAATTCTTGCCTTTAGGAAGCACACAATCTAGTACGGGAGATAAACCCAAATATAATTATAGTCTAGTGAGATAACTTCTAAAATAGAGCTAGGCTCAAGATGCTATGAAAGGACTAAAGAAAGGAAGGAACAGCTCTCTCTAGGTATGGAGTGGGTTGAGGGGAGTGATGAAGGCAGGTGTCACCCAGGTGACAGTTGATCTGGACCTTGAAGTAGAAGCCTGGAAGTTGGAGCTTGCCAAAGCAGAGGGAATACTTTGGGATAACCATCAATGTGTGAAGGAGCCAGCTGAGAAACCCTTGCTAAAGAATGATGAGGTTGAGGGCAAGGAGGGGACAGTTGCTGACACTGAGACCAGCTTGTGAAATATGCCATGCTAAGTTGATTAGTGTTTATCTCCTGCATAGAGGATGGGACACTAAGTTATTAATTAGGGGATTTATATATTCAGACATGAGGTTCAGAAAGAGCCTTCTTGCAGCATGAACTGGAGGGTAGAAATGCAGAAGGTGGGGAGAGACATTAAGACCAGATGTTAATCTCTTTGCCTGGAAGGTTACAAAAATGCTTCTCATTCTCCAGGAGTCAGTTGAAACATCTCTACCTCTGGGAAACCTTTCCCAGTGTGCCTATTAGAGTTGGTAATCCAGTCTCTGTTCTTGATCCACGTTCTATTTTCTGTAAGTGTCCTTAGCAGGAAGTATCCCACTGTAGACCTCTATGCATATTCTCAGTTCCTCCTGAGTTGAGTGTCTGGCAGAACGCTTGACTTAATTGTCACTTCCTCTAAAGGGCCTTCTCTGACCACCCTTTCATTTTTACTCTATATTACTGTGCTTTTAAATTTTTCTCCAAAGCACTTTATTGCAACCAAAATTTTATATTTTTGTGTTTACATTTGTATTGTCTGTTTCCTCCATTATCCTATAAGATTCCCATAGGAAAAACATTCCTATTACCTTCACCAGTACATCCACAGTTTTAACACTTAACAGGCACTCAGTAAATGTGTGTTGAATGAATGAACAAATGAATGAACAAAATGAGTCATAAACTATGGGTGCTTAATAAATATTTATTGAAAGAATGAGTTGGTCTATGAATAAATGAATGGATGGTCTATTCCAACAAATAAATGTTTATAGATTGGTATTGATATTCTATTCCATTCAAGATCTGGTACATTAGCTCTCCATCAGTGAATCCCATAATCTATGCTAAGTAACGATTTCAAACTACATATATTGGTGGTGTTGACAGAAATCTCCAAGTGATTCGTTCTACCAGGTGTGTTAGAATTAGAGCATATGGTCATTGAAGACTGAAGGTGCATACAGTCTTCTCTCTAAGCTCTCATGGCTCCCTGGAGATGATAAGGGTGCATACAAACTGCTCTAAATTATGAATCAGTGAGGTGAGGTAGTGTGGGGTCGCAAGGGAATACTATGGAGGGACTCCTGAATCCAGTGTAGGAGGGTCTCCTAAACCCAGTGTTGTGATCAGGGAAGGCAAGTCCTGAGCTGATAAGTAGGAATTATTCTGGTGAGGCAACTGGGGTGCGTGTACCAGGCAGGCAGAGGTAAAAGTGTAGACACCTAGGAGGAACAGAAAAAAACAGCATCAACAGCTTCACAGGTCCATTCAAAAGGAAACTCCAGCCTTTTGGCTTCTTCTTCCCCTTTGTTGTTTCTCCTTTCTCACCAACATATACCTTCTTCTTGTTCTGAAGGAGATTTTGCTTCCTCTTGTCCTCATTGTCCCTTGGTATCTCTGTTCTCCCCAGGTAGACTGTTAAGCGTACAGAGCAATGACAGGCAGCCCTTGTCTACACATTGAGTCTAGCTTCCCTCATTTCTAAAGAAATAAGTAAAGACACAAGTATCAGCATTGGAGGAGAGATTAGGGAGGGCAGTAGCAAGAGTCCAGAACCACCAGGCCTGCCACACCTTTGACCCATAGATATTCCTGAAGACTGTTGGAGCCACCAGAACCATGATCCCAGAAATGACACTAGCATTTTCTAGCTTACTTCACAAACAGAAACAAATCTCGCTGCCTAAACAGTCTTGTGGCAAGCCTTATTTTTATTTTTCCAAAGGCAGCATTACCCCAAGGCTTTAAATCATGACTCGGCCCTTGTTCCCCAAAGAAGCCAAAGTGAAGAAAAAGTCAAACCATACCTAGCCACTCACAGGAGACACTTTCTAAGAGCAGGGATTGCTTCTTTCTCCACCATGCATTCACCTTTCAACGAGAACCTCTTAAGTACCTGGTACCATTCTGGTGCTGTGGGTCTGAGCTGACACAGTAGTGGAGGAAAGTGTCCAATGTGACAACACACCAAGGCTCTGAATTGATTATCCCCTCACACAGAAGAAGATAAGGTAATTAATGAAACAACTGGCCTGACACGTGCTTCCATATTTTTCTTAATTTTTATAACTACCATGTAAAGTGGATATTGTAGGCCCAAACGGAAACTAAGACTCAGAGGAGTCAGGACAGTTTCTCAATATCGTACAGCTTATTAGTGACCCAGGTCTGTCTGTTCCAAAGCTTTTGTCCTCTATGCTACAGAGTTTCTGAGTTGCTCTCCTTGTGATCCTTGGACCTCGGTCCAAACTCTCTGGGCTATTTGACTAGCCAGTCAGTCAATGAATAATTGTTGAATTATGTTATACACCAGGTAGCAGGGGAGGAGCTGAGGAATCAACGATTAACAACTCATCAATGTGCGTAAGACTGACACATAAACCAGTAAGTAGAATAAATAAGGGCTATGAAGGGCCACATGCTACAGAGCACAGAGGAGGGGCAGCCAAGTCTACCTGCAGATTCAGGGAAAGCCTCACAGTAGGAGAATCATTTCAGTTGGTCTTATAGGATGGTGTATCAGCTTGTATGTCTGCCGTAACAAATTGCCACCAAAAACTGTCACTCAAAACAGTGCAAATTTATTTTTGCGTAGTTCTGGATGTCAGAAGTCTAAAATTGGGGGGTCAGCAGAGCTACATTCCTTTTTTAGGCTCTAAAGGAGAAGCTGTTTCCTTGCTGTTTTCAGCTTTGAGAGGCTGCCTGCATTCTTCCGCCGTGACTCCTCCTTCCATCTTGAAACCCAGCAGCATAGCATCTACAAATCTCTCTCACCTCTGATTCCAAGGTACATCTCTTTCTTTAACTCTGACCCTCCTGCCTACTATGTGATTACATTGGACTCCCTTGGATCATCCAGGACACTCTCCCTATCTCAACATCCTTAGCTAAATTACATCAGAAAAGTCCTTTTTGCCATGTGAGGTGTCATATTCACAAGCTCTGGGGACTGTGATGTGGACACCCTTGGGTCATTTTTAAGCCTACCACAGATAGGTAGAAATACATTTTACTGAGGTAGTCTGGTGTAATGGCTAAGAGAATGGCATTCAGACCTACATCACCTGGTTTGGAATACTGGTGCTACCATTTACTTACCACACAACTTTGGAAAAGTTGCTTAATTTCTCTATACCTGAGTTTCCTCTTCTGTAAAATAGGGATAAGGATATCACCTACCTTGTTGGGTTGCTGAGATAACTGGATGAGTTAACGTACAACAGTGCCTGGAATGTAGTGAGCACGGTAAGTTGTCTGTTTCCATTGCTGGCCAGGAAAGAGAGTTCTACAAATCGAACAGTACAGGCAAAAGAACAAAGACAAGAAAACGCAAACATATTTAGTACAAGAAAGTCATTTTCTGTGGCGGGGACACTATGTTGAGTGGTGACAGAAGACCATGGAAAGAAAACTGGGTTTGGGCCTGATTGTGCTAGACCTTCAACTGGTTGGTGCCCACGGGCTATTAAATAATCAATCAACCAATCAATAAGAAAGATTTTATTTGCCTTTTATTATTCAGAATTATGCTGAATTCTGTGGGAGAGATAGAATTATAGACACCATTCTTATGTCCACATAGAAGACAAATTGGCCCAACTGTCTGGTGTAAGCAGCCAACCCAGGACTGAATGCATAACTAAAGGGTTGACCTACACATGAATGAAACAAAAACAGATCCTAGAATGCCACTACAATGCTAGTTACAAAAATCAACAATAAAACAGCTGAGCCAGATCTTTGCCAAGTCCTGGAACCATAGAATATCAAGGACAAAAGCAACATTAGGAAAGAAACACCCAATCCCATTTTTCGCTTTATAGAGGATAGAATTAAGATACAGGGAGAAGCTTGCCCAAGGTCTCAAAAATCCTAATGGCCCAGCTAGGAGCAGAATGCAGGTGTCTTAATCATTATAAGGTAAAGCACGTGAATAGAGAAAAGAATTAGATGAAGCCAAAGTTTTTATTAAGCAACATTCTGTGTTCGATACTCTATGCTAGTTGTGATGTCATCCTCACTACTTAAATATTTCAGCAAAACATTTAACACTTCAAAGGATCACAAAAAATAATAAATGTATCCATATATATGAATATGTGAATACTACATTTGTTGAATGATGAATGTTCCTCCCCTTCAGGTGTTAGGCCCGTGGTGTTCCAAATGTATGCCAGCA